GGCTCGACTCGATGCCGCACCGCGCTTGCTCGTCCTCCTTACTCTGACCACGGCGACTTACTCGCGCGTGGTTCATAATCGGAAGGACTCGGATAAGGAGGCATCATTGGGTTCTCGGAAACACTGGCCACCGACCGTCATGTCCTTCTGGGACCCCAACTCATCGTGCTAAATCACACCCCAACAACATGGCATACGGCGGCCAAACACGCGCATCATGAGCGATGAGGGCGACAATCGTCGTCCATGACGCCCACGCTCACGCCCACCTTACAAAATCGCCCCTATGCCATGCGTAAGCTGTGCCGACTAATGTACCAAAGTCCGGACAAGACGAAAATCGGTGGTGGGGGAAAGGACTAGTGAGGCCAAGGTTTGTGACAGAGTTTTGAGATGGACGAATGGTTGGATATGCATTTGTGAAGAATACCATGCCGCCATACGCGGATTTGTGACGGCGAAAAAGAAGGTTGCCTGCCCGGAGCAATGCGGACGGTCACCAGGGCAGACACAATTGGGCGATGAGATTAACTTTAGTGGTCGACTGATATCCCTTGTCGACTTCATGCCAATGGTCTATTGCCCATTGTCCCTCTCTCTCGCCCTGCATTGCCTCAGAAGATGGCATTTCATCTCTTAGGGCCGGTCGCTCGCTCTTACACGGGAAATTGAATCTGGTGCAAAATTGCTACCGTCCTGATAACGGCCAGCCATGCCAGCCAGACCCATGAGTAGCCCTTCCGCAATACTGAACGGACCCTCTCAGCTTTTCGGTGTTGAGGGTGTTCGTACCTGACGAGACGGACGTGAGTTAGCATCACCCAAACGGCAAAGTGCTTCTACAGGGACCCCGTCACAGACTAACCGCGCCAGGTAAGCAAGACACGTGCCATCCATCTCGATGGTTTCACGGTGTGTGCCAATCACAGATGACACTTGCAACGGTAAGGCCCATGTACTGCCCAAAAGGGACTGACATGCCTTAGGCCCCCGTAGTGCCTTCGTCGACCCAAATTCAGAGGAGCACAGCGAGCACAAGCCACAGAGAGAGATCTCGATCGCGGACGATTATTCCTCTTCTCGGAATGGCCAGTGAGCATGCAAAGCCTGCTGGATGACCCTTTGACGCCACAGAATGACCCATTCTCCACCACGTCGGGAGTCTTTCCGTTTACTGTTCCCTGCCTTGATATCGTCGACTCGCGTCATTCTTTTTTCGTCCCGTTACCCCATAGCTCTGGCCCGTTTTTGGCGGTCGTTGTTAAACACTGGCGCGCTTCCAAGGGTCTTCGTCGCCTCTTCGTCCTTCTGCCTGTCCCTTAGTGACAGTGAGCAAACATCTCCGACCAGCTTGCTTATGCTTGCTAGCCATGTGGACATGGAAGCATCCATGCGTGTCCGATACCAAGACCTCGGCCTTGTTTCTCACCGCCGCTCATATCTCGCTGCGATTTGCGCTGGGGTACATCTGGTGCCGGCCGTACAACTGAGTAGGAGTGGCCGAGATAGTTGCGAAAGACACTTCAACCTTCGTCTTCTCTTGAGTCCAGCGCGCGGATGATACGGTAGCACAACTCTTGGGTGTATGCACTTTGAGGTTGATGTTAAGCTTTACGGCGACGTTAAAGTTCTCAAGGCATGGAGTTGCGGAGGGCTCGGTATGGCTCGTTATGGCTGCAAATCCAAAGCGCAGAGACAATCACGGCCATGCGATCCGTTCGTTGAAACGACTCTCGCAACCCAAGGAAAATGCGACAGCAAAACAAACTCGCTAGGCTTCGGAGTTGACGCCGGTTGCTGAGCTGGTTTGAGTTGAGCTGAGGTGAGCTGAACTTGTAAACGGTGCCAGCCGTACCGGGCGGAGACTGATACTCAGACGTGCCCCGTAGCGCGTGAACTAGGCGCCCGCCTATGACGACATTCGCAGGAGGAAATTTTCCCTCTCAGAAGGGCTCTGTGGCGCCCTGCAGGGCGTGCGTAGGGACGGGGGTGAGGGGCTGGGCCAGGAAGGGGTGTGTGTCAAAGCAAGGCACCTCTGACCCTCCTTCTCCCATTGTATTTTTCGTCTCACCGGGTACGGATAGGGAACCTGAATTGGGTGCGGGCAGGTCGGGTACCCTGCGACTGCCTCGCTCGACCCGGGTTGCGGGTTGAGTCTTACCAAGCTTGGGTATCATCAGTCTTTTCCTACCTTACACCTACACTTTACCCACCTTACCTTTTTCTTGCGGCCCTTTTGCGCGATCTTTGAGTTTGCGCAAGGCACAATCAACAATAGCAACGGAAAAACGCCCTCTGCACATTGTTGGTATTAACATGTTGTCCCTTTAGAACCGAGGACCGCCCGAGGACCACCCGTAGCGGTTTGGGCACAAGCGCAGGCGACCCTTAGTGGGCGAGGTGTCTTCATTTGAGAGAGACTTTGAAGCCGCACAATCGGCGCTGCCCTGCCTGGCATGCTTGCTTCAAGACAGCTTAGTCGGAACTTCTGCCAGTGTCACAGCCCTGACCGGCCACTGACGTCACACCCGCGGGCCCTTTGGCTCGTGCAGGGTCTTTCTTGTCCAGGCAGTAGTAGTACACCCTACGGCCGAGTCAGGTGGGCGCGCGCCGGATGTCCCCTTTTTTTCTTTTTTTTCTTTCCCCTACCCTCATCTTGTACGATCGCGATCTACGTCTGTTCCCTCGATACCGACAGCCGGACGCACAACACCTGTCTCTCCCAAGGCCGACAATGTGCGGGTCGATCCACAGCAAATAACGCGCAAAGGTTGAGAGATACACATCGGTTAGATTTCGGCTTGCCTCTGCCGCTGATGCGACAAGTACGGCATGCGCTATGGAAGATGTCTTTTGGGGCTGTCAAGATTGTCCCAAGCACTCGGGAAGCGTTCGCAGAGACCCTGAAAATAGCGTCGAAAAGGGCTGGACTCAGGGCCCAGTGATATGCTTGGTAGCTGCAAAGCCAAGCTGAAGCATAACAATGCGACTTTGAACGGGCACGGCTCTTTATTTGTGCCTACGAAAGCCGATATTGAAGTCTAGGGCGGGCAGAAGAGGCTGAGGGCAGTGAGACTGGGATTTGGCATCTGGCAGAATCGGAACACCGCGGGCCCGTCAGAACGAAAGGCACCTAGCCAGCCAGCGAGGTGACAATGTTTGAGTCGAAACGTGGTCGCATGGCACGGGTGGCTTGATTTCGGAGCTTCAGCTCCTACGCAGTAAGACGCTCGCAGGAAGAAGACAGAGGGTTTCCGACCGCTTCAGAGTGGTGGGGATATGGCCAAAAGAAGCAAGTGACGGCCATCAACCAAGCAAGTAAAGCCAGCAAGAAAGCAAGAAAGTAGGCAGATGGATGCGCAATCCGACATCGAAATCGACGAAGGGCCGGGCCAGAACTGAATAGAACGACCAGGGGTGCCAGGCACGCAGCAACAGGACGGGCGGAACCCGGGAGCGGTCCATGTTAGTGTTGCCAGGCTGCATGCAATACCCAACGTGAGGTAAGTAAGGAAGGTAGCTAGGTATAGCTCGGGGGAGGTTGTAGAGACGGAGATGGATACGTACCGAAGAGCAATCGGACCTTGCTTGGCCTTGGAACACACAGATCGCGATGAGCTGGCTACTGTGGTACCCAAGGAAACCCAGAAGACGGGGACGAGTTGAGACACAAAACGGATTATCAGGAGCGAGAGAACTTGGGAGCCTCTCAAACGGCCCGCCCAGTATCATATTCTGGGTTTAAGTCCAAGCCCTCATTCCGCAGCTCCCTTCCTCCACCAGCTTTCCTCTCTCTTTCTCTGCTGTGCGCGATGAATTGTTTATATCAAGAGATCTAGAATAGTGCTGATGTGCGGCGAGGTTTTGCTCGTGCGTACATGCCTCTGCTCTCTTTTCCCATGCTGCGAACGAAGCAATGCCACAACCGATGGGAGGAGAAATCAGGGAGGGAGAAAAAAAAAAAAAAAAAAAAAAAAGAAAAAAAAGGGCTTTATTTCTGGCCAAAATAATAATAATAATAATAAGATAATATGTGAAGTACTGCGACTAGTGCTCAAGTCCAGGCCCAAGCCAACTCTTCCCCACCCCGGGGTACGTAGCCGCCCGTCGCGAGAAGTCGGGGAGCTACCCTGCAGGGAATGGGTGTTGGAACCAGGGGTGCGATTAAGAAGCAGGACGTCGCTCACAGTGTCGTGAGAGTGAAGTGAGAGTGAGGTCGTGGTGTGGAATTGTGGGCAGGGGGAGGGGTCAGCGGGGCCCAGGGGGGCGCTTTGCAGAAGAGACGCCTTGGCCGGACCCTCCTTCCAGTGGTCCCAATGTTCCCCAATCCCTGTCATCCTTGCCTTTGCACCTTTTTTTCACCGTATCAAGGTTCAAAGTACCTTAATGGCGTCGAACCTTGGACAGCTACGAGTGCATCTCAGGCCGGGTACCTCAGCCCACGTACCTTTGGCGGCTTCCCGGAGCGACCAAAGGTGCGCAATTCTCCTTTCCCATGCCCATGCCCATGCCCAAAATCCCCCCCTCCTCCAAAACAACTCCCACTCCATTACCCACCACCCTTTTCCATCTACCACGCCTACTTCCTATTCTACCCATACCTTACATCCCATCCATGCCGACCGGCCCTTGGACGCTGTGCCAGACACCTCGCTTCGGCCCACCCCCCCAACCCGCTGACCTTCCGAGCTTCCTCTCTCCAAAGGAACTGCTGCTTGGTATAATACTCAGCCTGCGCCTCATTTCCCACTACGCCCTGCGTCTGCCAGCCTACGTCCTCAACACCGCTCAAAACATCGACCAATTCCACTCAACCTATACTCAGCTGTCATCTGCCATCCAGGACAAATCTTCAATCGTCAACTGTTTGGTCGACTATTGTTTACACCGTCGTGAACATCATCATCGTCGCCTCTCCCGCCCACAATCCATCTTGTCCAGCACAACGCCAAACAACATCTTCCCTTTCCCACCGGTGTATGATCACAAATTGATCAAAAATGCATGTTCGAGACGCAACCGGCCGCCAGGTCTCCCTTCTCAACGATGAGCCGTCAAGTGCCCCTCAGCGCCTAAGCTATCGCACTGCGAATCACATCATCTCACAGCCTTTCCACCCTGCGCCGCGCAGCAACTCTTCGTCGCCCCATACCCCAGAGCTTCTCCGGTCAGATTCCTACGACTCGAACGCCAGTAGCGACCCCATGTCCCCTCTGACGCCGACCTCTTACGACCTTGCGCGAGCCAGTGCCTTCGCTTCCGGCCAGACAATGTACGACGAGTTTGAAAAGCGTCCTGCTTACGCCAACAACAGCCGCGCAAATTCATACGAGGACGAAAGCTCAGCGACGTCGCCGATGCCTGAACGTCCGGGCAAGAGGTACCCGTGTCGCTATCGCGATTCTCACGGCTGTGAGAAGACATTTACCACCTCCGGACACGCCTCCAGGCATTCTAAGATCCACACCGCTGAAAAGGCGGTTCAATGCACTTTTTACGGCTGTTCAAAGAAATTCACTAGGGCGGACAACATGAAGCAACATTTGGAGACTCACTATAAGGACAAGTCGCGTACTTCGGCTTCGGCGGCCAAGGCTGCTGCGCGCTCATCACTCGGCGCCCTTTCGGCTTCCGGTCGTCGCTCTTCGTCGTCTTCCAGAAATGTCTGCAGTCGTTCCTCCCGCGATCAACCCATGTGGGACACCGAGTCATATGGATATCCTCCTGGCCAAGCTCCTTTGCCTTCCCCTGGTGCTAATGGCGCCTGGGATATGCGTGGCTTGAACCTGCCTCTTCTCAGCCGCCCTACTGCAACTAGAACCCCCAGCAGTGGGCTGGATGCCCTCGCCATGGCGGTAGCTTGCCAGGAGGGCGCTTAGTTGGTTGCTGCCTTGATTTTTTCGGAGTGATCACACTTGGCGTTGGCCAGTTTCGACTCTTTAATATCCACGAACCTTTGACTCAGTCCCTGTCACTGCTTGTTCAACACGATTCACGAAGCAAAGGTTGCGCCTAGGGTAGGCATACAACACGGACTTTCTTTCAACTCAGGAAACACACCTCGTTTTCCGTACATTTCTCTTATTTCATTATATCGACTGTTCATGGGATATCGGATAGAGGTCGCGAAGCATACGAACGGCGCACCTGCACATACACGCGGTGGGAATGGCAACAAAAACGATGGCGTTTGGTGGGAATTATTTCATGAGATGGTAAGCTCTTGGGCGGACTTTGTTCTTGGTTGGCGTTCTTGTGGCTTCGCACACATACCCAGATCCTCGATTTATGAGCAGCTGAAGGCAGACGCATTTGCGATTCTTCGCTTTGGCGGAGAGACGGACCCTCAAGGGAGTTGGGACACGTGTACGAAGGAAATTCCTGGTGGGGCATTAGTTCTCATGGGAGGAAAGGTTTAGGGTGGTTGAGGCAGGTGCACACTGGCTGAGCAGCGATGTGTTGAAGGCGAGCCTCCTTCATTGCGGAAAGATCTCTGGAGGATGGAATTTGGAGATCTGTTTGTGCTTTCATCGACGACATGTCGGGGGCACCAGCCACAATGCCCATTCGCGGGCCAGTTCGCCATCTAGGCGTGGTTGAACGGGGCTCACAAGCGGATATGAAAAAGTAAAAAGTTTTAATCAAGCATGCTCACTGTCTTTTGTGATCATATTGTGCGATTTCTCACCTATGGGGGCTACTTCTGAGGAAAGATGCACTACAAATCTTCAGCATATTGCCTGCCTATACCCATGTTGCACGTCGGCGAAAGCGACATTGTCTATCCGGATCACCGGTTTGGGTTGGAGTCACAAGCATCGAGATGATGTTCATCCTCGTAACGCATTCCGCCCTACGCGGAAGACATTCGCCCGGAGTGCCCACATGGACGAACATGAATTGGCGGGCGCACCCACTGGACAAACTTCAGGTAGTTTCACAGACAGCGGGCAGTCTGCGTCGGAACTTCTTCTACCTTTGAACGCATCGAGATGCACACTCGGGCCGAGGAACGGGGGGGAGCAACAAGAAGAAGAAAAAGAAAAGGGGTGGGGGGAAGGGGGGAACCGTTGGTTGAGGGTTGGAACGTAGGTACCGGCGGAGCTGGATGTCTCACACTGGCACTAACTCTGTTTGCCATGCGCTGGAATGACTGACTGGCGTTGCCCAGGAACACATGGGAAACCCATGGGCATCGACTGGAATGTCATCGATCGCCTGTCGTTGGTAGGTCGCTCAGTCCGTCTCCCACTCGTTTCTCATGTTGCGAGCGGTCATCACGGGCCAGGCACCCAGGTGAGAGTTGAAGATCGGTGATCTCGCGAGGATGGTGGTGGGGCGGGAAGAGTGAGCACGGCGTGGAAAATTGTGGAAGTGGCTCAGGTTGCATGTTTCTTCTTCTTTTTCTTTCTTCTCACGCTTTCGTCTATCTCGTACGTCTACCCCGTCAAACAAATCCCACCCCATAACCCGGCTGGGAGACAATTTGACTCAGATCAGCTGGTGCGAGCTAAGCCATCACGAGGTTTCTTCGTGTTTTCCACGACAGCTACTCCTCTGCCCCCTGCCCTCTACTGCACTCGCGTTTGCTAGCTGGCTGTCGACTTGGGGCGGGAATAGAATCGACATCTTGTGCGAACGCCAAAATTGTGAGTCAAGACCAAAGCTCACTCTTCTCGGTGCACAACCTCGCCATCTCCAATTGCTCGTCTGTTTTGCAAACCAAGGTACGTGACCTACCGTCCGGCTTTCCGACTTCTTGCACAGTGGATTCAATCTTCTTCTCGTTCAACTCGGCGTCAATCGTGAAGCCCAAGCAGGCACACTGGTCAATGACCTCTCTCCTCAACTTATCGCTTTTCTCACCGATGCCGCCAGCAAAGACGAGAGCGTCGACCTGACCGCCGAGAGTGACGAAGTATGAGCCGATGAAGCCACACACCCTATCAATAAAGATGTCGAAAGCGAGCTTGTGGGTAGGCTCGTCGGAGGTTGCTATGGTACCGAAATTGGTAGTTCCTGTGAGCGACTTCCACCCGGCTTGCTTGTTGAGGATCTCCTCGGCCTCTGTAAGATGTAGTTCCGATGTTGAGTTGGGAGATAACTTTCCAACATCGCTCGCATAGTGGAAGACCAGACTAAGTGCGTCTAAGTCAGACACTAGTTCACAGGCCGGGGCATTTGAGGAAGATAGGCACTGACCTGGGGTCTACGTTACCGCTTCTTGTCGCCCCCGGTAAGCCGGCAACAGGGGTGAGGCCCATGCTGGTATCCCAGCTTTGGCCGTTGCGAATGGCGCAGGCACTTGCTCCGCTTCCCAGATGCAAAGCAATGATGTTGATATCTTTGGGATCTTTGCCGAGAAATTCAGACACGGATCGCGTGATGAAGGAGTAGCTAATGCCGTGGAAGCCGTATTTTCTCAGATGGTTCTTCTTGGCGATTTCTTGGTTGATGGGATAGGTCCGAACGTGTTCCGGAATCGATGAGTGGAATTGGGTATCGAAGCAGGCGACGTTGACAGCATCAGGCAGCTGCTGCACGCAGGAATTGACAATCTTGAGAGCTGGGCCGTTATGAAGGGGGGCAAGGTCGCTGAGCTCCTCCAAATGGTGGTACGTGTCCGAGGTTATTACCTGCGAGCAAGGATAATCGCCTCCATGTACGATGCGATGGCAAGTCAGAGCAATGTCGTCTTTTCCCTTGATTTGAGACAGTTCCGGGTCGTCTATGAGCGTCTTCAGAAGGACTTTGAAGGCGTCGTCCTGGGTGGCAACCTTGTCCTGGAGCTTTTCGTCTTTCTTGACCTCGACATCGGCACGCGTATAGGAAATCTGAGCGGGTGGGGCCGTGAGGCCGCTGACTGATGTCTCTGCGAGTTGGCGGGGTGGCTGTTTAGGCTCAGCCGCGTAGACGGAGATCTTGACGGAGCTAGATCCCGCGTTGATGGCCAGGATAACCTTCATAACGGAAAACGCCGACTGTGTATGGCGACTTGGAGTTCGGGGCAACTTGTTCGAAGAAAGGATTTGTCTTGGTTCCTGGTAGCCAAGCTGCTTGCCAATTTGGTTTTATACTTGGGACTGCGGCGGCGTCCTTGTCTCCGGGGTAGGATTTCGACTTTCGGACCGACGCTGCTGACGAGCCAACGATTGAGGCAAGGAAGCAGTCGTTGACTGAGGTAACCTTGCGACGAGGTCGATCAGTCGATGTTCGGCAGTGGGATGGTTTGGAGGTTGGACGAGGGGTGGTGCAGAGAGCAGAAAGTGCGGCTGGGTAGCCAGGTGCTTTGGGTCGGCACCATCCGTTGAGTCGACCAGACCAATGCTACCTGATTTTCCACGGCCATACATGAGGTGGCTTGAGAAGTGAGGTGCAGTCACCAGTCAGGCAAGGCACCAGACGGGACCTTGGTACTGGGTATGGTGACGTCGATACGGGCCGTTGACAGCACCCCCACTCTCGGCTGAATTACCTACCTAGCGTCCAATGGCAGTGAGGAGGACACTGATGGAGCCGCCGGAACCCCGCGCCGTCCCTCGCCCTATTCCCTGTCCAGTACTCTGGCGGGTGGGCTTCAAGGTTTCCTGGTGGGTCTGTCAAAGCTGTCAACCTGGAAGCCTGCCCATGCTCTGACCTTATCTGGCCACGAGGGACCCAGCAGGCAGCTCTCGCCAGCCATGCATTCCATGCACATACCACTCCACCACGCACACACACGGTTATTCCGTGGCACCACTACCCACAGCCAGCCCTCCAAGCCCTTCTGGGTATCGTGATGTTGGCAATCTACCCAGTCAAGACCTCTTGGTTTTACAGAGACTGTGCGTTGCACCGTTCAAGGAGTCGAGTCCGACTCGTAAGAGTCTGGTGGCTCGACAACCGGCTGAAGCCCACTACCGATGTCAGGTGACGGCAGTTCCGACATCTCTCCTGGGAGGATTTGGGGAGACGGCAGCTCAACGTGGTGCGGTGGAAAGGGTATGCCATGGAATTCGCTGTCGGAGCTGTGCGCCATGACCCATTTCTCGAGAAATCTGCGATAGTCTGTCGCGTGGCCGTCAGCGCTCGAGTCTGCTTCAACAGCCCATTCTCTCATCGTTTTTCTGAATTTGTAGGCAGCACGGTGGAGTGAGACATACCTTCACGTTTGCTGAACTGAATACCCAAGTAGCGCATGTCTAGGGTGCCTGGCGATGAGCTTGCTTCCGAGTTGGAGCCTCCGCCCTGCGAACCCGAACGGACACGGGGCCGCATGCGATGTGAGAAGGCGAACCGGGAACGTGACGAGCCACTATCCGGCGCACTGCTGCGCCGGCTACCGCGGACCGTCAGACGAACCTGGCGATGCCGATTGTCGCGATTGCGCAGTTCGCCTTCAAAATTGTGTATCTCGTATTCCCGATGCTGACGGCCTCCGGCGCGGTTGGCGAACACGGTCAGTGAGTGATAGGTAGAGTAGCGGTCTCTCCACAGCTTTAGTCTCTGCACCAACCCCATGCCCCTTATATTGCCAAAGCCGTCTGTTCGTCCATGCACGTCGGACCATACCACATCAATGTCGTAGTAGTCGACTAGGTCTTTTCGGCGGACATCTCCCTGGAATCGCAGAGAGCTCTCGACGGTAGTAAACTCGTACTTGACTTCCATTAAATGGTCATGCATGACCATGCCCTCGCCTGTCGTATACCTTACGCGGTGGGGCTCACGGAAGCTGACGTACAGCTCAAGTTCGCATGGGTCTGTGTACGGCCGATGGCGGGAGTGAAGGGTATGTGGAAAGACATCGGCGGGAACATCGGACGGAACTAGAAGACGGTCAGACTCTGAGTGCAAGCACGAGAGAGAGGATAGGCGGAGATGAAGTACGGAAGTGTTC